GCAATTTGATATAGGTTATACATGTCCAGTCATGTAAAAAAAAAAAGTCATATTGTGAAAGAAAACACAGAACAACAACAACAACAAAAACCCCAATAATAAAAAAAAGTATGCTTCAATCTTCATTCACACCCCATCAGTTCTTTCTCCAGAGATAGATAGCATTTTTCATAAGACTGCAGAATTGTCTTGGATCATTTTATTGCTGAGAAGAGCTGTCATTCACAGTTGATCATTGTACAGTGTTACTTTTACTATGTACAATGTTGTTCTGGTTGTTTTCATTTCACTTTGCATCGGTTCATGTAAGTCTTTACAATATTTTCTGACAGCACCCCACTCATCATTTTCTTATAGCATAGTAGTATTCTATCACAATTATATGCCACATTTTGCTTAAACATTTCATAGTTAATGGCCATCCCCTCAATTTCCAATTCTTTGCCACCACTAAAAGAGCCACTGTAAATATTTTTGTATATATTGGCCCCTTTCCTTTTTTTTAATCTCCTTGGGTCACAAATCTAGTAGGGGTATTGCTGGGTCAGAAGGTATATGTGGTTTTATAGACCTTTGGGCATAGTTCCACATTGCTCTATAGAATGGTTGAATTAATTGAAGTGCCTTTCTAGCCTATTTCTAGCCTTTTCTTCACCAACAGTGTATTAATGTACCAATTTTTCCACATTTCTACTAGCATTTGTCATTTTCCTTTTCTGTCATATTAGCTAATCTTATAGGTGTGGGGTGGCACCTCACAAGGTGGCACCTTGTTTTAATATGCATTTCTCTAATCAATAGTTATTTGGAGCATTTTTGTGTGACTGTAAATAGCTTTGATTTCATTGTCTGAAAACTGCCTGTTCATATCCCTTGACCATTTATCAATTGGAGAATGGCTTGTATTCTCATAATTTTGACTCAGTTCTCTATATATGTATATGAGAAAGGAGGCCTTTATCAGAGAAACTTGCTGTAAATATTTTTTTCAAAGTTATGATTACTAACTGTATTTCTCTTCATCCTATCCCCCGCCTTGTTTATCCTATTCTCTCTCTCCTTTTACTTTGTCTATTCTCAAAAGTGTTTTGCTTCTAACAAGTGCTTCCTGCAATCCACCTGCCTTCTATCAGCCGCGACCCTGTTCTCAACCCATTCTCTTCTTGCCTTCCAGGAGGATAAGATAGATTTCTGTACCCAGTGTGTATATTGTTCCTCTTTGAACCAATTCTGATGAGTAAGGTTCAAGTGCTCCTCCTGCAACCTCCATCTTCCCCTCCACTGTAAAAGCTCTTTCATGACTCCTTTATGTGAAATAATTTACCCCATTTTATCTCTCCCTTTTTCCTTCTCTCAGTGAATTTCTCTTTCTCACTCTTTAATTTTATTTTTTCAGACATCCCATCATATTCAACACACCTCTGTCTATGTATACTCCTTCTAACTGCCCTAATCATGAGAAAGTACTTAAGATTTACAAGTATCATCTTCCCATGTAGGAAAGTAAGCAGTTTAACCTTACTAAATTCCTTATGATTTCTCTTTTCTATTTACCTTTTTATACTTGTTATGAGTCTTGTATTTGAAAGTCAGATTTTCTATTTAGCTCTGGCATTTTCATCATTAAATATCTATTTTTCCACTTGAAGGATTATACTCAGTTTTGCTGGATAGTTGATTCTTTTTTTCCCCCTAAGGCAATTGGGGTTAAGTGACTTTCCCAGGGTCACACAGCTAATAAGTGTCAAGTGTTTGGTCGGAGGTTGGATTTGAACTCATGGCCAGTGCTCTATCCACTGCCCCACCTTGCTGCCCCGATAATTGGTTCTTGGTTGTAATCCTACCTCCTTTGCTCTACATAATATCATATTCTGAGCCCTCTGATCCTCTAATGTAAAAGCTCCAAAATTTTGTGTTATCCTGACTGTGACTTCACAGTATGTGAATTGTTTCTTTCTTGCTGCTTGTAATATTTTCTCCTTGTCCTGGGGGCTCTGGAATTTGGCTATAAAATTCTTAGGAGTTTTCATTTTGACATCTCTTTCAGGAGATGATTGGTGAATTCTTTCAATGTCTATTTTACATTCAGGTTCTAGAATATCAAGGTAATTTTCTTGGATTATTACTTGAAAGATGATATCTAGGGTCTTTCTTTGATAACTTTTAGATAGTCCAATAATTCTTAAATTGTCTCTCCTCAATCGATTTTACAGATCAGTTGTTTTCCTATCAGATATTTCACATTTCTTCTATTTTTTTTATTCTTTTGACTTTGTTTTATAGTTCTTGATGTTACATGGAGTCATTAACTTCATTTTTTCCAATTCTAATTTTTGAAGAATTATTTTTTTCATTGAGCTTTTGTACCTCTTTTTCCATTTAGCCAGTTCTGCTTTATGAGAAGTTCTTTTTTTTTTCAGAGAATTTTTTAACCTCTTCTTCCATTTGACCAATTTTGCTTTTTAAGGAGTTCTTCTCTTCATTGATTTTTGGTACATCTTTTTTATTTTGACATTCTGTTTTTCAAGGCATTTTTTCTCATTGTATTTTTGTGCCTCTTACCATTTGACCAATTTTGTTTAGATGTTATTTTCTTCAGTATTTGTATGTGTGTGTTTCCTTTACAAGCTGTTGACCCTTTTTTCATGATTTTCTTACATCACTGTCATTTCCCAATTTTCTGAATTTTTCCCTATTTTTCTCTACATCTCTAATTTAAAAAATCCTTTTTGAGCTCTTTTAGGAATTCTTTGGAGGTCTGAGACCAATTAACATTTTTATTTGAGGCTTTGAATGAAAAAGTTTGGACTTTATTGTCTTCTGAGTTTGTGTTTTGAGCTTCTCTGTCACCATAGTAACTTTCTATGGTTAGGATCTTTTTTTTTTTTGCTTGGTTTTTTTTTTTTGCTCATTTTTCTAGCCTATTTCTTATCTTTTAACATTATATTAAAGTTGGGCTCTACTCCCAGCCTGGAGAGGGGGCAGGCGCTACCCCAAGCTTCAGGTTTTTTGTTCAGCACTTTTCAGAGCTAGTTATGGAGGTGTGTAAGCTTTCACTACTTCCAAGATGGTGTGATCTAAGGAGAGGTGTTTTTACGACTCTCCTGACCTGTGCTCTGGTCTATGAATGCCCACAAGCACTCTTTTCTGCCTTGGAACTGTGGCCAGGATTCCTTCTCCTCTGCTGCTGCAAGCCGTAGTATGCTAGTGATTCTCCCTGCCCTGGGACTGGAATGCAGGAATGCAGTCTGGACCCATGCTCCTGCACCTAGTGCCATCAAAGGGACCCATATAATCTTCTTTTGACCAATTGTCTTATCTTCTTGCTACCTATGGGCTGCAAGCTCCTGAAGAACTACTGTCACTGCAGATTCAGTCACCCCCAAGGCCTGCTGGTAGTTTCCTGTGTTGTGGCCTGTGCTGGTACAGCCTGCAGTGGGCCATGTCCCACTCTCATGCCAGTGTGATAGACATTTCCTGCCAACCTTCCAAGTTTCCAACAAACTTGCCAAGTTGTCTTGGTCTGGAAAATTGTTTACCCTTTTTGTGAGTTCTGCTCTCCAGAATTTGTTTTTAGGTATCATTTGAAGTTGTGTGGAGGTGAATTTGGGAGAGCTCAGGGGAATTCCTGCTTTTTCTCTGCCATTTTGGTTCTGCCCTCCAGCCCCTCATTTCTAATAGCACAAGAGGACTCCATCATAATCGTATACCACAACTTATTCAGCCATTCTCCAATTGTTGGGCATTCTCTCAATTTCCAATTGTTTAGAAAACATAAAAAGAGCTGCTATAAATATTTTTGTATAAATAGGTCCTTTTTCCTTTTCTTTGATGTCTTTAGGATACATGCCCTAGAGTATTGCTGGGTCAAATGGTATGTATAGTTTTACAGCTCTTTGGATGTAATTTCAAATTGTTTTCTATAATGTTTGGACTAGTTCACAACTCCACCATTAGTGTTGCAATTATTTTCACATTTGCTCTCACCATTTGTCATTTTCATTTTCTGTCATGTTGGCCAGTCTGATAAAGGTGAGGTCGTATCTCAGAGTTGTTTTAATTTGTATTTCTCTAATTAGTAGTAATTTAGAGCATTTTTTTTCATGGGGCTTTCCAGAGCTTTGCTCTCTTCTGCTGAAAACTGCCTGTTCATATTCTTTGACCATTTATCAGCTTGGAAATGGCTCTTATTTTTCAAAGTTTGGCTCAGTTTCCTATATATTTGAGAAATGAGGCCTTTATCAGAGAAACTTGTTGCAAATTTTTTTTCCATTTCCTATTTTCCTTCTAATTTTGACTGCATTAATTTTGATTGTGCAAAACCTTTTTAATTTCATGTAATCAAAATTATCTATTTAATTTCCTGTAATCTCCTCTATCTCTTGTTTGGTCCTTAACTATTCCTTTATCCATAGATCTGACAGATACATTTTTCCATGCTCCTCTAATTTACTTATGACATTATCCTTTATGTCTAAATCATTTATCCATTTTTAACTTTATCTTGGTATACAGTGTGAGGTGTTGGTTTATGCCTAGTTTCTGCCAAACTGCTTTCCAATTTTCCCAGTAATTTTTGTCAAATGTTGAATTCTTACCCTCAAAACTTGGCTCTTTGAGTTTATCAACCACTAGATTACTATGATCCTTTACTACTTTGCATTGTTTATTCTAATTTTTTCTTTTCTAGTCTGTTTCATTCTTACCCTGCATATTTCTTTTTGCTGTACAAACCCCTTATTTTCATATGTTTGAATTAATCTGTTTAGTCTTTTGTAATTTCTCTTAAATCAGGAGTGACTAGAAATTTTCTCTTTTTACAGTCATTAAAACTACTTTATCTTTTAATTTTAATGACTTGTAATTGTAGATTATTGATCTCCTTGAGTTTATTTTGGTAAATGAAAACATTTTTTCTAGGAATATGTTATGTTTAACAGTTTGAACTTGATTATTTAGAAATCAGCAATGATAACCATAATCATTTTTCACTTGTGTAGAAAACCTCTGTTAATCACAAAAGAGTTCATCAACAAATTCAATAACACAGAAAATCCACAGGATAAGAAGCTCTTACAGGACCAAGCTACAAAAATGCTATTTAGATGCAAGGTAATTTCATAATGTTTATTTGGTTTTCTTCTTCCATTTTGTGACAGCTTATCTATGATTAAAGCCTCGCAGAAAAAGTTGGAATAATAATTGGCTTGTTTTCATTATAAATTGTCAGGAATAAAGATCAGAGTTAAAGATTGTAACTAAATTGTTCAGTATCAAATGACATGCAAATTCCACAGAAATGATAACAGGATATAATCTATTAGTGACATTAACTCTAAATGTCCAAAGTTAAGCACATGATTGGCAAAGGGAGCCCAGGCCTATAAAAAGCACAAAGATTATGTACAAAATCTTGTTCACCACATGAGAATATATCCATTGGTAGCATAGCTACTTAGTTCAAAGAAGCAACTGGAAAAAATTCCTTTGTATTTAGGCCATCATGTCTTTTTCTGAGATTTATTGTTCATTGAAAAGAGCTATGGATATGAAGGTCTTGAGTTTGAATCCTAGCTCTGTTACTTACTACTTACCAAGTCATCCCTCTTCTTTCATCTGTAGTTTCTTTAACTTTAAAATATGGGCATTGAACTAAGCCTTTGGGATCCCTTCTACCTCTAAAATCTATGGTCCTATGATATATATATCTATCTATATCTATCTGTATCTATCTATATATCTATATATAAATACATACACACACACACACACACACACACACATATATATATATATATATAACTATGGCAATATTACAGCAACATATCACTGATAATGTACAACATTTTTGGGAAGAAAATTTACCAAAAAAATAGTTTTTATTAGGGGAAAAATAGATTTTCCTTAAACTCAAAAGTAGTTCAGTTAAGGCCTGGAGATCAATCAAGAATTTGAGGGAGATTGTATTCATTGGGGTCCTAGGAAAGCTCCCAAGATCTCTTGAAGTTGTAGAGATATTTCTACATCTTCTTGAACTAGGAAAATAAAGATATTGACCTAATACCAGGCTGTCTCATATCAGGACTATCTGAAGAAACCCGAGTTACTTATTAGAAAAACAGCATTTACAGGGAAACTTATTGGTATAGCTTGCGTTCCTAGTACAATTCAATGTGGTAATGGGAAAGGATCACTGGAATTTTTGGTGAACCTGGGTTTAAATTCTCACTCTGCTAACATGACCTCTTAGGATCTCAATTTCCTTATCTGTAAGGAAATTTGACAAGATTATCTCATACAGTTCAAAGTCTTCTGGTCCTAATTGTTGACACCCACCTGTGGATTCCTACCCTTTCAGTTTGTTGGATTCTAATCTACCTTTTTGATCCATCACTATCTTTCCTGTCATGCAGCTGAAACTCAGCTTGCTTGGCCTAAGTGAGGAGTTTTAGTCTCTATCTCTATCTCTATTCTGTTTTCATTCTGACCTTTGTTTGGATTGCCTGGTGTCAACTTCCAACTCACATGAGCAAGAGACTACCTCATTTTATTACAATAAATTAACCTAACATCTGTGCCTTTGACCTATTTTCACATTTTCATTTCTAATATATTGGCTAAAATATGATAAACACAGAGCATCTAAGAAATGGGTAGGGTATTGATGAGAGTTGCAGTCATTCTAGGACAGTTTAATTGCTCCGGTTTGGATTACTACCTTTCTCTATCCCTTTGACATTTATTCCACAGTGGTAATTAACACTTCATATGTTTGTTTTCCAGCTAAATTTGTAATGAAAAGAATTTTTTATTCTTATTTCATTAGCTTCTATAATAAGACAGATACAATTTTTTGGAGGGGATAAGATAGACCTGGATTATCCTAAAATTATATTTAAGAATGAACAAATCCTTTAAAATTTTTAAAAATTTTTAAAAGAAAACGATTGCTATCATAGAATGTTAGTTCTGGAAGGGATCTCAGAGATTATCCAAACCCTTCATTACACAGAAGGGGAAATTTATTTGCCCGTGGTCACATAGCTACTTGGATTTGGCTAAGCTTATGTTACAGTACCAAAGGTAAAATTTCCATTTAACTTGTGTCTAAAATCAAGAAGAAAGTGTTATCAACATTAGTAGGAAAGGAATTATCAAGTTTTTTTTTTTAATGATCTTTAAGAAAGCACAGGGAACTTTTAAGCCACTTGTTATGTTAGTAGTTAATTCTCATTCAGAGTGTTCCCCCAAAATATTTCATTAAGAAAAGATAAGTGCTTTAACAACACTCAGTGTAAATACATGAAAACAAATGCATAATTTACCTTAATGAAGCTTCAAAAGGAAGCTTAATGACTTCAAAGTGTACTTTGTCTGCAGTGATTTAAGTGATCTATAATCAACTTTGATAAATCACTATTAACAATAAATACTGATATTTTCAAAATAGGGAGAGTTAATTATCTAGATTTTAGCACTAATAAAGTATATTGAAAATTCATAAAATAAAAATAATAAAGGCAAGTATATGTATATAGCACATGATCAGTATTTCTAACTGGGATTATCAAAGATTATTTCAAAGAAGTAAACTATTGTAAAAATATAATTTTTATAGATAATAAACACTAATAAATCTTTTTTTGTTCTTTTGGGGTGAAAAGCTCTGAAAGGTTTTGTGGATATAATTGTTAATTACGTAACTTTTCATGGTGGACTGACCTCCCCCTAAAACAAACTTTTCACATTTCATATTTTACTCTTTTCCCCATAACAGAGAAGATTAGGACTCAGCAGCCTGGGTGTGGGTAGTCATGTAGATCTTCCTGCTGCATGGACTGAGGCAATTTATTTAGCTCAGTGCAAAGGAGAAATCCAGGAAGGTACTGTACTGTAAACTCTAATTATGTAACCACTTTAAGTGTTTTTCAGTCAAACTAATTTTGATTCTTCCAAATTTAAAATATTGTGACTGCAAAGCCAATACAATGCAGATATTTTCGTGTTATCTTTATGCACAGAGGTACTTTACCAAAACCTCCTGAAATAATTCATTTCTGTAGTTTTAGAATATAACCTGAATTGGGCAACATAGTGTGGTGGAAACACTGATGAATGCAGTCAAGACAGACAGTTTCAAATTCTGTCTGTGACACTTAATAACTATGTGACAATGTACAAGTCATTTAATAAGTCCTTACTGATTTATTGATTTGAGCTTCACTTTCCTTATCTATAAAATGATAATACCCATATATTTACCTACTTTAGTAGGATTTTATAAGGCTAAAATGAACTAATGAAGAAAAAGTACTTTGAAACCTTAATGTGCTGTATCAGATGATTGATTATTGAGAATAAGGACTATCTATGCCCATATGTTTATTTTGTAATAATTTATATTTACAGCATCTAGGACAGAGGTATTCATGACTAGACAATAACTATTTTTGAAGATGATGAAAGTAGGCTATGCATTTACCAACTTGTATCCAGAATGTCACCCTACCAGTCTGCCTCAGGAAATATCCATTCTCATCTACTCTTGTTGGAGGATTTCCCCCTTTGAATGAAAATAAAATAATAAGCTCTTTCCTTTTATTACTGCAAGTACTGATATAGTCAAAGGCATAGTTACTTGCTATTATTCCTCAAACATCTTTCCTCTGCCAGGCCTGGTCTTACAATGCTCACCTACCTCAGGAGGAGGAGTTGTGTGCCAGAGATGGATTTTGCTGAGAACGACAATGCGGGGAGGAAGGGCAAAAGGGAGAGAGAGAAAGAGAGAAATCTCAGTTTGTAACAGCTACAAGATTGAACTATTCTATACTTAACTCCTTTATGAAAAAGTGGCTTATTAAAAAGAAGATCCAGGAGTCTGGTCTAACCTGGTCTGTCTGGCTTGGCTTGTCCTGGCCTCTATAATGTAGTGATTAAATATTTGCTGTTCTTCCAGCCTGGAGGAACAATAGCAAAATCAAGATGATTAAGGCAGAAAAACTCCAGGGAATAGAATTTATGCCCAGGGTCAAGAGTTCTTGCTAGATAAAAGGAAGAAAGCCCTAATAATTAATAGGCAATGCAGAAGTACAGAACTAACTGAGAAAAGACCAGAGAACCTAACACCTTTGATATTTTAGTGAATGTCAGGAATAGCTTTTACTGTGAGGCTCATTGATACTGTAATTTCTCTTCCTCTTGCTTTGTTGTATTATTTCTTCTTAGCAGATAGTTTAAACCCCTAGAAGACCTCAAAAAGACTATGTACTTGATTCATAAAGGGGATAAGGAATTCCATATAGAATTGTCCATGTTGCAGAACAGGATAAAGAGAAACAGGCCATAAATAGGAAGAGACAGCAGTGCAAGCCTCCCAGATCCACAGACAGAACATGAATGAGATAACAAATGGAATTAACCTATTAGGTCGCATAAAATATAAATCATTGTGGTTCTTTGCATTTGTATAGGGCTTTATGGCTGTCAAAACATTTTTGCGTACGTTAATTCCAACAACAGTTCTGTGAGATAGGGCAGGTATCATTATCCCTATTTGATGGGCAACAAATCTTAGATATAGACAGGTTAAGTGACTGACTTCAGAGGAGAAAAATAGTAGCAGACCCAAACTGAGAACCCAGTTCTTCTGTGACTCTATATCATTCTTACCTTCTAATTTCATGGTATCCTATAATCTTTTCTGGGGTGGCTGCCTTTACCTTCAGATTTACAATAAATCGCGTTAATTATTCCCAAAGTCTAAAATTGTGATAAGTTTTGATGACTAATTCTGACAGATGGAATGAATTATGTGGCTTATTGCCGACTCTCAGCAAACTACATACTCTTGGAATTTCTTGTTAATATGGAGAAAAGACAAGCAGATGACACTGACATTGTCACTTTAAAGAAGTTTTCTATGGCCTCTAGATTTTTTTTTCTTTTTTTTAGACCTTCTTTGGTGCTAAGTAGCTAGCCTAATTTTTTTTTTTAATTTAACAGCCAGCTTGGAGTCAAGATGACAGAATAGAGGGAGCATTCTAGCCAAGCTCTCTCTATGTTACCCTCCAGACAATTTTAAAATAATGTTTCAGATTGAATTCTGAACAGCATAAATAACAAATGATCAGAAAGAGACATTTTTTCCCAAGCCAGGCAAATTTAGGAGGTTCAAAGAAGTCTGTGCCACTGGGTTGGGGGCTAGCCAGAAAGATAGTACATCAAGGGCAGTGGCAGCAGCAGCAGCAACAATAGTGCCAGGAGTTCTCACCACCCGTAGACAGAAAGGGGTTTGGTTTCTGGGTCAGAAAGAAATTACAGAGAATTTTTCTGCTGGCACTGTGCTTAGGACTGGGGGCTATTTTTCTGAATTATATGCCAGTAAACTGACAATCTAAATGAAATGGTTAAATACATACCAAAAAACTACCCAGATTAACAGAAAAGGAAATATAATCCTTTAAAAAAATTAAGCAAGCCATAAATGAACTCCTTAAGAAAAAATCCTCAGGACCAGAATGGATTTACAAGTGAATTCTACTCAACACTTAAAGAACAAATAATTCTCCTACTATATAAATTATTTTTTTTAAAAGAGGTAAAGGAAGAGTCCTAACAAATTCCTTCCATGACATAAAAATGGTTCTGATACTTAAACTAGGGAAAGGAATAACAGAAAAAGAAAACTATGGACCAAATTCCTGAATGAATATTGATGCAACCATTTAAATAAAATATTAGCAATTAAACTGCAGCAATATTTCACAAAGATGTTGCACTATGAACAGGTGGGATTTATACCAGGATTGTAGGACAATATTAGGAAAACTATAAGCAAAACTGACCAAATCAGTAACAAAACCCACAAAATTATATGATTATACTAATAGATGCAGAAAAGGCTTTTGACAAAATATAGTACTCATTTGGATTTTTAAAAATACCAGGAAATAGAAGAATAAATGGAGCTTTTCTTAAACTGATAAGTAGTATCTATCTAAAACCAAAAGCAAGCCTTATCTGTAATTGGGATAAACTAGAAGCCTTCTCAGTAAAATCAGGGGTGAAGCAAGCATTTACATTTTTACAAATACTCAGTATTGTCCTAGAAATGCCAGCGACAGCAATGACAAGAGAAAGAAATTGGAAAAAAGGACAGGGGGCTAGGAAACAAAACTATCACTCTTTGCAGATGATATGATGGCATACTTAGAGTTACCTAGAGAATCAACTAAAAATGAGTTTAAACAACAACTTTAGCAGAATTGGAGGATATAAAATAAACCCACATAAATCATTAGCATTTCTATAGATTACCAAGAAAAGCCCCTGGAAGAGAGAGAGGATTTCCATTTAATAACTGCAGTATAAAAATATAAATATACTTGGGATTATACCTGCCAAGACATATCCGGGAACAATTTGAACAAAACTACAAAATACTTTTCACATAAATAAAGGCAAATCTAAACAAGAGGAGAAATGTTGATTACTCATGGATAGGCCAAACCAATGTAATAAAAATAACAGTTCTATCTAAATTAAAATATTTATTCAATTCTGTACCAGTCAGGTTACCACTGAACTATTTTATGGAGCTAGAAAAATAATAACAAAATTTATCTGGAAGAATGAAAGGTCAAGAATATCAAAGGAATCAATGAAAAAAAAAGTGAAAGAAGGCAGCTTAGCAGTGCCAGATCTCAAATTATATTACAGAGTGGAAATCATGAAAATGATCTGGTACTAGATAAAAAATAGAATGGTTGATCAGTGGGATAGATTAAATACACAATATGCAGAAGCAAATGTATACAGTAGTATAGTGTTTGATAAATCATAAGTTTCCAAGCTTTGGGGGCAAGAATTCACTGTTCAACAAAAACAGTTGGGAACACTGAAAAGCTTTCTGGCAGAACTTAGGCATAGACCAACACCTCATACCACATACCAAGATAAAATCTAAATGAGTAGTTGAATTAGAAATAAAAGTTGACACCTTAAGCAAATTAGGGAATCATGGAAAATATTATCTTTCAGATCTATGCATAATGGAAGAGTTTATGACCTAGAAGGGGTAGAGATTATCACAGGAGGCAAAGTGGTTAATTTTAATTGCATTAATTTAAAATAGGTTTTGCACAAACAAAACTAATGCAGCCAAAATTAGAAGGAAAACAGGAAATTGGGGGAAAATTATAGCAAGTTTCTCTGGTAAAGATTTCATTTCTCAGATACATAGAGAACAGAGCCAAACTTAGAAAAATAAGAATATTTCCCTAGTTGATAGATAGTCAAAGGATGATACAAAAGGGCAGTTTTCAGTAGAAGAGAGCAAAGTTATCAATAGTCACATGAAAAAATGCTATAAATCACTAATAATTAGAGAAATGCAAATTAAAACAACTCTGATATACCACCTCACACCTATCAAATTAGCTAATGTGACAGAAAAGGAAAATGACAAGTGGTGGAGGGAATGCAAAAAAATAGGGACACTGATGAACTGTTAGTAGAGCTCTGAACTGGGCCAACCATTCTGAAGAACAATTTGGAACTATGCCAAAATGGGCTACAAAACCATTCATACTTTTTGACCCATCAATACTATATCTATGTCCCAAAGAGATCAAAGGAAAAGGAAAAGACCTATATGTACAGAAATATTTCTAGCAGCTCTTTTTTTGTGTTGGCAAAATGGAAATTAGGGGGATGCTTATCAATTTGAGATTGACTGTACAAATTGTGGCATATGATTGTGATGGAATTCCATTGTGTAAGAAATGACAAAGGAGCTAAATTTAGAAAAACCAAGGAAGATTTATTTGAATTGATGCAAAATGAAGTGAGGAGAACCAGGAGATCATGGTATGCAGTAGTAGTAATGCAGTAATGATGATCGACTATGAGAGAATTAACTATTTTGATCAATACAATAATTCGGGATAATTCCAAAGGACTCATAAAAAAAATGCTTTCCATCTCCAGAGAAAGAACTAATGAACTGTGAGTGTATATTGGAAAATATTTTTTTCATTTTATTTTTTCTTGCTTTTCTTGCAATATGGCTAATATAGAAATAATATTGTATATGACTTCACATGTATAATTAATATACTGCTTGCCTTTTCAATGGGGAGGGGAGGAACTGAAGGAGAGGGGAGGAAATTTGGAACACAAAATTTAAAAAGGAATGTTAAAATGTAAAAGAAACAATAAATTTAACTGCCTGCCTTTCTTGCCTCATTTTCCTGTTAGAATGTGAGTATATCTTTTTCATATGATGACTTTAATATGATTGTTATGATTATTTATTCTGTATATCCCATCAGATTGTGGCTTACTTAATTATCTGGCTGAGAAATATCTGGGAGAGCTGGACATCATTCTTCAGGAATTTCCATATATTGAGAAGAGATTCACTGTCCATTTTCATTGATAATAGCTGTCTTAATATGATTTTATTCCTTTTATATTCATCCTGTTATCCAAAGACATTTTAATCAAAGCCTGCTTTTCTTTCTAACCTCAGCCTCTTTTGTCTCAACACAGCCATTTTGTGAACCACTTATGACCTAGATTCAGACCTCCACCTTATATCCATTTTCTTTGACTCCATGTAATTCCATTATTGCTTTGTGTTGTATCATGTTGTTTTTTCTCACCATTGTGTTGGTAGCAAAGTTAATGGGTAAATATTTAGTGTTAAAAGGAGTAAAAGAAAAATCTAAAACCAGATTGTCAATAGTCTCAGATTCTAAGGTGAAAATATTTTATCTCTTTTAAAAATATTTATTTTTTATATTCTTTCTAAATTTGGAGTTCAAAATAATCTTCCTCCCTCCAGTTCCTCCACTAACCATTGAGAAGGGAAGCAGAATGTCAATTATAGATGTGAAATAATATTTCCATATTATCCATGTTGCAAAAAGGTGAGGAAAAATAAAATGAAAAAAACTATGCTTCAGTATGCACTGAGTTTATCAGTTCTTTAGAGATGGAGAGCATTTTTCTTCATAAGTCCTTTGACACTGTTGTGGATCATTATATTGATGAGAGTAGCTAAGTCTTTCACAGAATATTACCATTATTTTATTGCTGTTACTCTGAACAATATTCTCCTGGTTCTGCTCATTTCATTTTGCATCAGTTAATATGTCTGCCCAGGTTTTTCTGAAACCATCTTCTTCATCATTTCTTATCACACACTTGGTTTTAGTTAGATACTACTTGTCAGTTTAACAAAAGCTTCATTTAATCCTGTGCTTTCTAGCACAGGATATTGTATTTTGTCAAAAGCTTTTTCTACATCTATTGGTATAATCATATGATTTTGTTGTTTTTGTTATTGCTATGGTTAATTGTGCTAGTAGTTTTCCTAATTTTGAACCAGCCCTGTATTCCTGATATAAATTCCACCTGCTCATATTGTATGAACCTTTGTAATATATTGCTGTAATGTTGTTGCCGATATTTTATTTAAATTTTTGTTTCAATATTCATTTTAGAATTTGGTCTGTAGTTTTCTTTCTCTGTTTTTGCTCTCCTTGATTTAGATATCAAAACCATATTTGTGTCATGATTGTCTCTTTTAATTGGGTCTAATTTTGCTCTTACCTTGATTTTTTATTGCTTGAGCTGAAACATGATAGTTTCTGCTCCAGCCTCTTATTTTTACTCTCTGTGTTTTATTGTTTCAATTGTTTTTCTTACAAGAAACAGCTTATTGTTGGCTTCTGGTTTCTAATCCATTTTGCTATCCATTTCCATTTTATGGTGAGTTCATCCCGTTCATATTCACAATTATGATTGCCATTTCCCTCCATTCTGTCTTCTTTTCTCTCACTCTGTCTCTTCTATGTCTCTGTGTCTCTGTCTGTATCTCTGTCTGTCTGTCTTTCTTCTCTAAAGTCTGTTTTAGCCTCTTTTATTTTGTCCTCCCATTATTACACCCATTCCTTTCTCTTAGTCCCTTCCCTTCCTGCTTCACTGTTGAGTACGATGATTTCTTTACCCGGTTGAGTTTGTATATACAGTCTTCTTCTTTAAACCAGTTTGATGAGAGTGAGGTTCAAATGTTTCCCATTCCTTATTTTCCCCTCCATTGTAACAGCTCTTTGCATGCCTCTTTTATGTGGAGATCATTTCCCCCATATTTCTTCCCCCTTCGCTCTTCATATCTATTTTCCTTACTTTCTATTTGATCTGTTCTCCCAGTCAGTTGTTTTTCTGGCAAGATATTTCTCCTTTCCTTCTATTTTTTTCATATGTTTGACTGTTTTTCTTATTTGTTTCTTGATGTCTCACTGAATCATTAACTTCTACTTCCTCATTTCTAATTTTTAAAGAAATATTTTCTTCAGTCGGGTTTTGTATTTCTTTTATCATTTGGCCAGTTCTGTTTTTTAAGGTGTTGTCTTGAGTATTTTTGTGCCTCTTTTACCAAGCTGTTAATTCTCTTTTCAGAATTTTCTTACATTCTTCTCATTTCTTTTCCCCATTTTACCTCTATCACTCTGATTTTTAAAATCTTTTAATCTTTCTTTAGTTCTTGTATGAATTTTTTTGGTCTTATGTCCAATCTGCATTTTTCTTTGAGGTTTTGTTTATAGATGTTTTCATATCATTGTCTTCTGAGTTTGTTACTTGAGTTTCCCTGTCACCACAGTAGCTTTTTATGGTCAGGTACTCTTTTTGTTTGCTCATTTTTCCAGCTCATTTCTTGACTTTGAACTTTATGTTGGAGTTATTCATTTGGGGGATGGACAGGGTTTGTCACTCTCCCAAACTTCAGGTTTTTTTGCCCTGATATTTTCACAATTAATTTTGAAAATCTGTAAGTTTTTAGTGCTTCCAAGGTAGTGTCATCTGGGGAAGATTGTGGTCACTGGTCTCTTGGTCTTTACTCTTGTCCTTACCCAGGTTCTCAAACTAAAAACTTGGAACTAAGGCCCCTGCTCCTTTGTGACTGTACTTCTCTCTGCCCTGGAATTGGTAACGAGCAGTGGAGTTACCAAACAACATCAAGTCCTGCACCCAGTGCTAACACAGAGGTCCCCTGGAATCTCTTTCTGAACAGGTGTCCAATCCCCTTACTAGCTCTCAGCAGTGAGAGCTGCCAGTACTTCTGCTGCTGCTCCTATCCCCAGCACAGCTCCCAAGACCCACAGCTGGTGTCACTGCCACCATACTTTGCTACTAGCCACACACCTTTCCAGTGCCACAGGCCTCTCCTTTCATCCTCCTAAGTTTTCTGAACTAGACAAATGTTTCCTCAACCTTTTGTTGCCTATGCTGTCTTAGAATTCAGTCTGACACATTATTTTTAAACTGATTATAAGGGAATGTTGGGAAAGCATGGCTAGTATGCTCCCTTTACTCTGCCATCCTCAAATGTTTTACTTCTTCCAATTGTTCCACATAATTCAGGGGTAGGTGAAGTTCTACAAGATGATTCAAATCAGTGTTTGTTATCTTTAATCATTCATTGACTTAGGTGACTAAACAAGTAACAGTTTGCAAGACCAAATTAAGGTACAAGATAATAAATTTTAAAACAATATCAAGATTTTATGTGTACTCATTTTCATATTTTTAATATTTCAGAAGCCCTAAATATGCTTTGTGCTTCTTTGGATCATGCCTCCTTGAATTGCAGTCACCTGACAACACTGTTTTTCATTGCTGAATCAGTTTTGTATAGAATCTGCTGTGATGCATCCCAGAAATCATATTTATATTCAAGTGAAATAAAATTGACAAAGGTACTTTAAAATTGCCATTTTTTTCCTTCATTTGCTACATATATCCACATGGTATCTATTTTAGGACCTAAATGGGTTATTCTGTTTTATGATGAATTTTCCTTTTGTGGTTTAGTTTTCTTTTCCTTTCTTTAATACATACTTTCTTGTTTGATATAATATATCCAGAGCCATGAGTGGTAGTATGGCATAGTGGCCAGCCTTGAAGCCAGGAAGACATGGGTTCAGACACAGGGCAATTCACTTAGCCTCTCAGTGCTCTCGGCAGCTATCTAAGATTATAATTTGCAGAGAAAGCTCCAACCTGTTTTGAAAGAATGTATTTCCTCAGCTAAGGGCCTTTTTTGGTACCAAAGGAATCACAGGTTCAGTCTCTATCTCTATCCTCCCACAAAGAGGCAGAATTTTGAATGGAGAAGTAGCCTCCAAACCAGGAAATCCTGCCTCTGTCAAATATTGGATGTGTGACCCTGAAAGTGATTTAACCTCTGGGAAACCTAAGACTGCAGAGAAAGTAGTGACCTTTGTTGGTAGAGAGAGCTTCCCATCACGTAGTACACTAAACTGATGAAAACACTAGTCCTCCCCATATGTAGTATATTTTGCTACATAATTACAAACTTGGATAATCTTAGTTTTAATAATGTTCTTCTATAGTTAGTCTTTTGTTATTTTGATATTTAAATCTTCTCTTTCCTAACATGAAAATTAATAGCTATATTCATGTAGTGAATTATTCCATTAGTATCAATCTTTTTTTGGGGGGGTGGGAGGAGAAACTATAAAATGTGAAAATGCTCTTTTGGTTTTAGCCCCTATTTCATATGCTACCCTAATAATCTTGTGATATCAGTCACTCTGATACTCAAAAGTGATTATTTTTTGAAATTTGCTTAACATTTTCTTTTACTTAGCAAAAATCTGTTTTCTCTCCCAAACACTTCCCTTCCCTGCATTGAAGATATGTAGTCAAGCCAAAAAAAAAAAATCCCCTTATTGACCATGTCCAACAATATGCCTTAATCTGTATTGTAAGTCCATCACTGATCTGTTGGGAGAGAGTTAGCGTGTTTCATCATTAGTTCTCTGGGATCATAATTGATCATAACATTGATCAAAATTCTTAAATTTTTCCAAGTTTTTGTCTTTATGATATTGTTATTGTATAGATTGTTCTCTGGTTTCAGTTCACTTGACTGAGTCAGTTTATACGAGTATTCAGGGTTCTTTGAAACCATCCCCTTTATCACTTATTAACACACATTACATTTCTATATCACAGTTTGTTTGACTGTTTGCCATTTGATGTATACTCTTAGTTTCCAGTTCTTTGCCATCACGGAAAGAGCTTCTTTAACAGGTTGTTTTGTTTTTATTTTTACTTTTTACTTGTGGGTCATTTTTATCTTTGTCTGATCTCTTTCGGATATAGAGCCATTAGTGGTACTGCAGAATTTAGTACCCTTTTGGCATAGTTCCAAATTGTTTTCCAAAATGGCTAGATCAGTTTAAAGCTGTGTGAATAGTGTATCAAAGTGTCTTTTTCCTCCAACTTTTGTAATTTTCCTTTTTTTGGGTCAAATTTAGCCATTTTATGATGATGAGATAGAACCTCAGAGTAGCTTTTAATTTGCCTTTCTCTAATTATTAGTGATCTGTGGGGCAGACCCAAGATGGCCGAGTAAAAGCAGTGACTTGCTTGAGCTCTCCCCCAAGCTCCTCTAATTATTGGTGATCTGGACCATTTTTTTAATCATATGGCTATTACTACCTTAGATTTCTCCCAGAGAAAACTACCTATTCATATGCTTTGACCATTTATAAGTTGGAGAATGGCTCTTATAAGTTTGAGTCAGTTCCTTGTATATCTTGGAAATGACTTATCAGAGAAATTTGTTGAAAACATTTTTCCAGTTATCAATTTCCCTTCTGATTTTAACTAAATTGATTTGATTTTGTGCAAAATATTTTAAATTTTATGTAGTCAAAATTGTCCATTGAATTTTCTGTGTTTCTCTCTATGTATGGTCATGAAGTCTTCCCCTATCCATAGATCTTGCTCTTCTGTTTTGTTTATGATGACACACTTTATGTGTGAGTAATATATCCATCCAAGCCTTATCTTGGCACATGATATGAAATAGTGATCTCTACCTCATTTCTGCCAGAATAGTTCCAATTGTTTTCCTCCAGTTTTTGTTGAATCCTTTGATAGTATAATTGGTATGACACTGAATAAGTAAATTTATTTAGGTATTTCTGTCTTTTTATTATATTGTTTTAGTCCACATGTGAGCATTAATATGTCACCAATTATTTAAATCTGTCTTTATATATGTAAAGAACATTTTATAATTGTTGTCATATAATCCAATGCATGCCTCAGTTCTTTTATACGTTCTGTATTTATTTTAAATGGAATTTTCTTTTCTATCGCTTTCTGATTTTTGATGGGAAGTAATATACTGAAATACTGATGATTTGTGTTGGTTTACTTTATATCCTACAACTTTGCTGAAGTTATTGTTTCATTTGTTTTTTTAGTTGTCATTGGGGTTCTCTAAGTAAACCATTATATTATCTACAAAAAGCAGTAATTTTGTTTCTTTTTTGTCTATGTATATTTCTTCAGTTTCTTTTTCTTTTTTTTATTTATAGCTATTATTTGTAACATTATATTTAATATTAGTTGTGGTAATTGACATTCTCGCTTTACCCTGGTCTTACTAGAAAAGTCTCTGATTTATCCCCATTACCCATAAGACTGACTCTTGGTTTTAGAAAAATGTTATTGAATGTATAGATGCCATCAAATTTTTTTTTCTACATTTGTTGACATAAGTATATCCTGTTTTTCTTGATACTAATATATTTTATTATGTTTCTGATTTTCATAATATTGAACCAATCTTGCATTTTTGGTATTAAATCCAACTTGGCAATAGTGTATAATCTTTGTGATATGCTGCTGTAGTCTTTTTTGCTAATAATTTAATTTAAAATTTTACATTTCATTAGTTCTTTAGTGATATTGGTCTATGATTTTCTTTTTCTTACTTTGTCTCTCATTGGTTTAGGTATTGATATTATATTTGTCTCATAAAAGAAATTTGGTAGGACTTCCATTTCTGCTGTTTTGTGTAATATTAGAATTTATTGTTTCTTTTAATTTTAAATAGAATTTGCTCATAAATATATTTAGTCCTTTTTATTGCCTATAGGAGTTACTTTTAGCTTGTTCAATTTCTTTTTCTATGAATGGGATAAGTTTTCTGTTTCTTGTTCTGTTAATCTGGTTGTCTGGTATTTTTGTAAATATGTATCAGTTCCATTTGCTGTCAGTTTTTTTACTGTATAATTTGGCAAAATAGTTTCTAATTTTTTTTTTCTTCATTTGTTTTGAATCTACTTTTTTCATTTTTTTCCACAAGGTCTTTGGTCTTAATCTTTTTACAAAGCCACTGTTTTTTTTTTTTAAGAGTTTCTAGTATTATTAAATAAATTCAATTTTTTTCAATTTTATTGCTATCAATATTTATTTTTATACAATTATATGATATATACAGATTATACAATTATAATACATTTGCCAAATTTATTACTTACTTGATTTTCAGAATTCCTATTTTGGATTTTAATTGGGCTTTTTAAATTAGTTTTAATTAGTTTTAATTAGTAATTAGTTTTTTTTTTCATTTGCAGTTTCAATTCATTGATCTGTTTTTGCAGTCCTTTTTTTGGTGAAGGTATTTAGAGACATGAATTACTTTTATAAATTGCATGTTTATTGCCTGTAAATTGTTTTGGAGGTATTAAATGTTTTGCCTGTATCTCAAAAAGTTTGGTATGTTGTTTCACTGCTGTCATTAGTTTTAATGAAATCATCTATTACTTGTAATTTCTTCTTAGTACTTTTATTTCATTAATAGTAGCCTATTAAGGATCTATTTAATATTCTAGCCCTTTTACATTGGCTTATATTATTTCTCTGCTCTAATACAAGAATTTTTTCTTTCTTTCTCCTCTATGCCCCTCTTCCTAATCTTTCCCTTTATCTCCTCACTCCTCACATTCTCCTGTAAGCTCTCTTTTTCCTGTGATACTACAGGTGTGATTTTCCCTTTACTGTTAGCTTATCATTTAATTAGAGAATATCACATTTTTCTCTCTTCTTCCTCCACTGCCCCCATTTATGCACTCTCCCATTCTGTGATTTAGTACCATAAAAAAGGCACAATGTTATATTCATGATGTTTTGGATCCGTGTCTATACCATCACTTCCATTTGATTTTTGCTTTTAGCCTTGTCTCCTTGTGTGTATTTAGATAGAAATCTATCACTGGTATCTCCATTGGTATGTTGGTGTTGCTGTCCATGGTTGCTGTGTTTCTTTACCCTTCTTTGAATTTCTTATTTTTGGAGTATTTGAGAAGCAAGTACAAGCTCTCATTTTCTTTCTAGAAATGTTCTGAATGCCTTTTTCATCATAATCATTATTATTATTAGTTTTTTCTTAATGTTTAGGCTCAGATTTGTAGACAGGTCACTTTGGTCTCAACTTGAGCTCTTCTGGTCCCTCTTTTCTGGAGTATGCAGAATAGTCTTTTTTTTTTTTTTAATAATTTCCTTTCCTTTTTATTTAAAGGTCTTTCTCCTAATCACTTGCTGAATTTGTTGTTTGTTAGTGGGAACCGTTTGTTTCAAATTTTGCAGCATAAGTTGTTTCTTCTTCTGAGGTAACCTGTGGATTATTTTAATTAGCACTCTATTTTTTGTGTCAGAAGTTCTGGACAGATTTTGTGTATTATTTCATATGATATTCAGATCTTTTGACTTGCCATGTTCTCCTGGGAGACTGATAATCCTTCATTTGTCTCTGTGTCTTATATCTTTAAGATCAATATATTTTCACTTATATGATGATCATATTTATTTTTATGTTATTGATTTGTTCTCCTCTTCTTCTTCCTTGATTGATCTTCATTTTAGTGCATTTCCATTCCCAATCAGTTATCTTTTCTTTTGTTTCTTTTGTGAGACTTGCCATTCTGACTTCAAGTTTTTGTATTCAGCAAATTATTTCTTCTGTGAAGGCCAAAAATTCTACTTTCACAATTCTTATTTCTTTTTTAACCCATTCAGGAACATTCTCCTCAGGTTCCATTGTCTCTTGGGCATCCACATTGTCTTTATGAATCATCAGGTATTGATTCATATTCTTTTGTCTTGCAATATTTATTCACAGATGCCTGAATTTTTTGCCTGATCTGGAGGCCACATTACCTTTTTTTTTCCCTTAGTGTCTTCCTTGTTAATTTATCTGCTTATGCTCAAAGTCTTTATTTAAATTTTCTTCCTCCTGAGATCTTTGATGATTTTATTCCTCCCATCTCCCCATCCTCCCCTATAGCTTATTTTTTAACTCCTTCCCTTTTAATGGTGGTTTCCCTGAGGGCTAAATCTCAGAATCCCTCAGCTTACCCTGATGTGGAGCTATTCATGGCTTACTAACTTTTGTGGGGCAGGGGCAGAACTGACTCTACTTGGATGAAACACTCTTTTCCTCCAGCTTAGTGTAGTACCACACAGTTTGCTGCCCTCTTTCCTTCTGTTCTTCCATTCTCTTCCAGAGTTCTATTGTGTAACAGAGCTGTGTCATGCTGATGTGACTCAGAAATAGTTTTAATGCCATTTAAATAGAAAGTAGCGTAATCTATAGGGACAGGGCTTTAGGATATTGCTTTTACTGCACTCTACCTGCTGGACATATTTTCCTGGATGACCCAACAACTCAAAATCAAAATGCTAACACATCATACCTTCCCCCAAAGTTTGTACCTTTTCTTAATGTTCCTGTTTCTGTTATTAGTAATGTCATTCATTTAATCACCTCTCTCATAATTCAGAATTATTATTTTATTCATCCCTCCTTTATAACCAACATTCAGTCAATTGTCAAGTTTTATTAATTCAACCTTTACAAAGTCTCTCACATGTGTCTTTTTCTTTTTATTTCTACTGTCACCATTTTAATTGAGGTCTTCATTACTTCTTGCAGTAGCCTCCTTAAAACCCCTTAGTGCTTGGCTTATACCTCCTTTTTAGCAATTATTACTGTTTGCCTTGAATTTGTGCATTTGTCTTGGTTCCCTTACTATTTTTAAAGTTCCTTTAGACTATTGACTGTAACTTTTTCATCTTTTATATCTTATAGTGAATGCCTAGGAAAGTGCCTTGTACATATTGAGTGTTTAATAAATGTGTTGAATAAATTAATGAATATATCATTATTCTTTTTGATAAACTAAGATATTTAAGATCAGGGACTATGTCTTATTTATCTTACTGCAGCATATATACTCATTAAATATTAAATACTTGCTAAATTATTAATAGTAACATTGAATTGAGTATCTTTAATGTATGTAGGAGATTTGTTCATCTTATCAATGGAAGATCACATACGTTATCTGAAAGTTTGTAGGAACCAAGTTGTTTGACAGCTTAAGGAATACATAAAAGAAATATTTTTTAGACTTTCAGCAAGTATATCAAATTACTGTTTCCACTGAATTACTGAAGGAAAGATTCACAGAATACCAACTTTGGAACGGACATCATGAGTCATCTAGTGCAACCTATACCTAAACTGAAATCTCCTTTACAATATTTCTAAAATAAGTCTCTGCTCAAAGACTTCCAGTGAAGGGCAATCCACTGCTTTCTAAAAAGCCCATTCCATTTTTGAACAGCTCTAATTTTTAGGGTGGTTTTCCTTTAATCAAGTCTAAATTTTGCTTTAGCATGCCTAAAAATATTACCTAGAATGTGTTTCTTTGCAACTTCAACTCATAACTTCTGATTAATCACTCTGGGGCCAAGCATAGTCAGACTGGTTCCTCTTCCATTTAATAGGCCTTCAGATACTTGAAGACAGATGTATATGTCCCCTCTCACACTTTACTTCTCTTTGTCAAATAATTTCTTCAGCTAATCTTCACGCAACATGGCCTCCTGGCTTCCCACCGCCCTGACCACTCTCCAGTGAGCACTCTCCAGTTTGTCAATGTTCTTCTTAAAATTTGGATCATAGAATTTAACAGAATATTAAATATATGATTTGGAAAAGACATAGTACAATAAGACTATCGTTTCTCTTCTTTTGGGTATTATATGTTTCAATTTAGCTTTGTATTCTGTTAGTTTTTTTTGTTACCATTTTACACTATTGTTTCATTTTGGACTTTTAGTCTACTGAAATCCTCAGATCGTTTTTTACTTGAACTATTGCCAACTTCTGTCTCTCTGATTCTGTACTTGACAGCTGATGTTTTGAATGCAAATATAATATTTTGCCCTTATTCCTATCAAGGTTAATACCTTAAGTGAAAGTCTTATTTTTATACCTCATCTTCATGTGGGTTCTCAAAGGCTATGTTGAGAGTACACAAGCTTTGTCAAAATCCAGCCCTGGGCAAGTCATTTAAACCTGTTCACCTCAGTTTCCTCATGTGTAAAATAAGCTAGAGAAGGAAATAGCAAACCATTCTAGTATATTTGCCAAGAAAACCCCAAATGGTATCAAGAAGAATTGGAACCAACTGAATGACTCAACAACAACAACAACAACAACAACAACAAGAAGTAAATGGACTATCTGTTGGTTCTCCTTCACTCTTGACATCCCATCTTTTTTGCTCATAGATTATTTCAAGATACCCTTTAATCTACCACTCTTTCATAATGCCCTGCTTGTAAGATATTAATCATCCACCATGAATCTTTCCATTCTCCTCAGGATTATGTTCATTTTCAAATTTCATGTAGAGATGGATTTGTGGAGATATAGATATATGTATATACCTAATGTGTGTATACACATACATAAATGTGTATGCGTTCCATATACTCACATGCAGATAGACATATACACACACATACCTGTATGGAAAGATATACACAAATCTATGGACAAGCTCTGTAGATCTGGGAAAACAGGTATTCTTCATCCATTTAGTTTTTCCTGTATTGGTAGCTAGGGCAAACTCTTTGTGACTGTTTTGTTATTTCTTTGGGGGTTTTTTTGGAGGCAGTCAGGGTTAAGTGACTTGCTTAGGGTCTCACAGCTAGTAAGTATCTGAGGTCGTATTTGAACTTTGATCCTCCTGACTCCAGGGCTGTTCTATCCACTGTGCCACATAGCTGTCTTGTGACAGGTTTTGAACTACCAGGGCTTAATGCAACCAACCAAGTGTCATTTGTAAATAAAAACATCTGAAAAACTTTATTATCTGTGGGAAATCCCTCTTCAACTTGAATTTTGCCTTGGATCTTTTCCATGACAAGAGGCTAATACCTTTGGCATATATCTCAGTTTTGTGTCTCACCTGACATTAATGATCACAAAGTTTTCAAAGAAAGTTATCTCTGTCATCATGTCTTTTAAAGCAGTTTGTATAATTTTGACATAGCATAGGAGAAATCTTGTTGGGGGAGAGTCTTTACACGTAGCATTCTGCTGTCAAATCAAATGCTTTAGAAAAATAGGCAACAGATAATAAGCACAATGCAACTTTCAGATGTGGTCTGCTATGGAATGGTTACTTTGAAAAAACCTCAACAAGAATACCCTTAATGGGCATGTATATTAATCTTAATTTTTTTAGATAGCTGGTAAAATAAGTTAGTAATTGTTGATGTTCTCTTGGGTTACATTCTTTGTATAATTGAAAATAAATTGGATTGGGGCAACTAGGTGGCACAGTGGATAGAGAACCGGTCCTGAAGTCAGGAGGACCTGAGTTCAAATCTGGCCTCAGACTAAACACTTGACACATACTAGCTGTGTGACCCTGGGCAACTCACTTAACCCCAATTGCCTCCAAAAAAATAAATAAATAAATTGGATTAACCTAAAATTAAAAACAAAAAAACCCCCAGCTAATTCATGAATTTCCGGTTGAAGAATTTTGCAATCATTTCAATAAACTGCAGTACTGTATCTTGTATATATGTCAGTTTACATGGCTTATGTTTCTGTTGCCTCTTGGAAATGATGCAGCAATAACTTTTACTGTTTATCCTACTACATTGAGACACAGTTAAATGTACTATGTACAAAGGAACAGTGATATTGTAGGATGATCAGCTGTGAATGACTCAGCAATACAATGATCCAAGACAATTCTGAAGGACTTATTACAAAAAATGCTATCCCTCCCCAGAGAAAGAACTGATGGTGTCTGAATACAGATTGAAGCATACTTTTTTTAAACTTTATTTTTCTTAAGTTTTTTTAATCTATATTTTCTTTCACAACATGACTGTTATGGATATATTTTGCATGACTACACATGTGTAAGCTATATAAAATTGCTTGCATTCCTAATGGGGATGGGGGTGGGGAGGGAGGAAAGGAGAGAATTTGGAACTCAGAGTTTTAAAAATGAATGTTAAAAATTATTTTTACATGTTGGGGGAAAATAAAATGCTAAATATCCTACTGCATTAATGATTCCTGATATTTATAAAAATATGTGCAAATGAGGGAGGCATGTATTTTATATATTATTTTCCATAATTCAACTTTTATATTACATACAACTGCAAATATATACATATAATATACATACACACACACACATGCACATTTCAACATGATCTTACCATTTAATTGAACCTACATCTCCAACTTCATGTACTGTTCAAGTCTAATGTGAACTGAAAAATACTTTTGATTGAGTAACAGTTCTCTCACATGGTTCACACATTCTTCTTTTTTTAATTTTCCAAATAATATGTTCGTATTTTAATTTGATTCAGTGTACCAATGGATTCACTTTCTGTTTTTCTGTGTGTGTTGTTTTGTTTTTTTTAACAGATTGGATTTTTGACATTTTTACGGCTTTCTGTTTATCACCTGTATGGTAATCTGGAAGATTTTGAAGAACACTTAATTAGACTTCAGCCATATTTATATGGTAGAATCTCTTTTTATTTACTAAATGTAAAATGGTTTGTTACATAGTGAAAATCCAAAATTATCATGATAATCCTGGATTATATTTGCTTACATAGGGAAATGATTTATCAGAACAAGCGTAAGGCATTTTATTGAACTGTTCTTAAATTAAATGTAAATACAAGTGGAACTTTTTTTAGAGAAAATGGAAATGAATGAAAATGAATGTTGTATAATAACAATTACTCCCAGAGTTTTACCCTAGATAAGGAACAAAAAAAAATTAATCTTCACTTTGCAGAGGCAGGGGACTATGGAGGACATTGCATATATATCACACTTTGTTGATAGGTTAGTTTTACTGAACTGCTTTTTTCTCTCCTTTCTTTTTAATTTGTTATAAGAATTGTTCCGTAGGAGACAGGAAAGGAATATATTCAGCAACAAAGATGATGTAAAAACAAAAGATATCATTGATTTTAAAAAATGATGAACATTATATTTTCCAAAAAATATCTGAAATATGTGTATTTCTCTCTCACTTCAGAGAGTCCTACTAAATATTAGTGAAGAATAAGAATAGTAGGCATCTTCAATGTATATAGTGTTTGGATATGAGTAATAGTGTTTTGTCACATAATGATGTAGGCATATTTTATATATAATTTTGTATAGTGATCATCTAGAAAAATTTCATTGGATGTATACTAGAATGAAAGTGTATTACAAACAATGAGTGTATTACAAAACCTGAAAGTTATTATTGTAAAGAGATGTGATATAGAGGCATGGATAAAGAGATGGCCTCAGAGCAAGGAAGACTCATATAAATTTTGGCATTGTGATTTTGAACAAATCATTTAACTTTTCAGTGCTCTAGGAAACTCTCTAATGTTCTAAGATGTAGAGAAGGTGACAGAGTGAGTTTCCTCATCTGAGAATACCTTATATCGGTGAAATCACAGTTCTAGCCCCTATCTCTCATACTGTAATGTTCTTATGGTTCTCTTTGGGTGATACAATTCCTCAAATGGAGTCAATGCTGAATATTGTGATGCTATATGTATTTTTTTAATTTGGCTATGGCTATACATTGAATACAATCCATCAGTGGCTGATACTCTAGGTCCAAGAATCTAGAAAGATGGAAAAGTACTGAAATATTGTTGTTATCATTGAATGTATCACCACATTAAATATGCACATGAAGAAGGTAGCTGTTGATTTTAGAAAAAAAAACATTGTTTACTACCAATTCTTTCTTATAAGTCCTTATTTATCAACATTACTCATTTTGCTGCTGTTTATTTGAAATCACACAAAAATAGAGAAAGACTTTTCTAGCTAAATTTGAAATAATGATTTCCATGCAATCTTTTCTATGTCCTATTTTTATTTATGTCATCACAGAGGTCTGTGTCAGTAGAGAAAAGTCATTAATAAAAATATCTTTCCATTTCTGACCTGTCATCCTGTACCATTTTTACAGAACATGGTCCCCTTATATCTTTAAGTTACTTATTGATTCAACTTAATGAACATTTATCAAGTATCTGCTATGTGTTGGTCCCTGTTCTAAGTTCTGGGGATACAAAAAGAGGTAAAAGACAGTCCTTGCTTTAGAGGATCTTACAATCTAATGGAGGAGACAACATGCAAATAAATATATACATGACAAACTAAATGCAGGAAAAAATAGAAAATAATTTAAAGAAGGAAAGCCCTGGAATTAAGAGGGGTCAGAGAAAGCTTCCTAGAGAAGGTGGGGTTTTAATTGAGACCTAAAGGAAGCCAGAGAGGTCAGTAGTCAGATCGGGGGTGGGGGTGGGGAGAGTGTTCCAGGCTTGGGAGATAGTAGAGAAAATTCCCGCTGCTGAGAGATGCAATGTCTTGTTCTTGGAAAAGTCAGGAGGTCAGTGTTACAAACTACTATGTATAAACAAGGTATATATGAGATAAGTATGAAATAATCAGCAGAGGGAAGACACTAGAATTCATCTGGACTGGGAAAGGTTTCCTGTAGAAGATAGGATTTTAAGTAGGACTGAAAGGAAGCCAGGAAAGTCAGTAAGGAGAAATGAGGAAGGAGAGCATTACAGATATTGGTGCCATCCGGTGAAAATGCCTGATGTCTTGTTCGAGGAACAGAATGGATGACAGTATCACTGGATCACAGAGTACATGGGATGTGGTTGGGAGTATAAGATATAAGAAGACTAGAAAGTGGGGAGGGGATGTGGATTATGAAGGGCTTTGAATGCCAGAGAATTTTATATTGATCCTCAAGATGATAGGAAAATGTTGAGTTTAAATTAGGTTCAGAAGGTCACTTTCACAAGTACAAAATGTGGAAGGCATGGATAGACTACAATTTGTCTTAAAAATCTGGAAGGTTGGGAGCACCTAGGTGGCACAGTAGATGGAGCTCTGGCCTTGGAGTCAGGAGGACCTGAGTTCAAATTTGGCCTCAGACATTTGACACTTACTAGCTGTGTGACCATGGGCAAGTCACCAAAAAGAAAAAAAAAATCTGGAGGGTTGAGTAGACTGCAAGGTCAGTATGAGGCAATACTGACATAGCAGCCCAAAAAAGCTATGATTTTAAGCTGAATTGAGAGAGGCATAGAGTGTTTGGGACTAGAAAAGTGGTTGTTTTCTTATGTCTTGCTCTGGTCAGAGAGCATCTGGTGTCATATATGGTCATTTCTGGGTTGCTGCGTTTTCTAAAACTTATTTCTAGACTGAATAAGTATCTGAAGGGGGAGATGATAAAAACAGAGGAGGGTCTCAAGATCATGCCATATGGGGCTTAGGTCAGTGAAAAGAAATAAAGGTTTTTATCCTGAACACTTTGGAAAAAAATGTCAAGTATTCCAAGGATTTTCATATTGGAAGAGTTATTAAAATTGTTTTCTTTGCTACAGAGGGCAGAATAAGGAACAGCAAGTGAAAGTTGAAGAGAGAGGTAGATTTCAGCTTGAAATAAGGAAAACCTTCCTGAAAAATTGAAAATCATCCAAAAGTAGAATTAGCTTGCATTTGGAGGTATCCCCTCACCGAGGGCCTTCAAACAAAAGCTAAATGATTTCTGGTTGGAGATATGGATTGAATTATTGTTCAGGAAGGGCTGGACTAGATGACTTCTGAAATCTCTTTCATGATTGAAATTCTCTTATTCTGTCATTTCACCTTGATGGCATCTCTTTTTCTAATTTATCCTTTCAAAGAAGCAAGAATTGGGGCAGCTAAGTGGTGCAGTGGATAAAGCACTGGCCCTAAAGTCAGGAGGACCTGAGTTCAAATTTGGCCTCAGACCAAACACTTGACACTTGCTAGCTGTGTGACCCTGGGCAAGTCACTTAACCCCAGTTGCCTAAAAAAAAAAAAAGCAAAGCAGCAAGAGTCATCTTCAAGTGGAATTTTGATCATCTTACATGCCTTTCAGAATCTTACAATTTTGTAGTCTTTTACATAAAATTAAAACTCATGGTATTAGACTTTAAAAACCATATGTTCCTTACCTCTCTTTATCTTCTAGCTAATCTCTCAACATTTGATATAATGTACGATTGAATCAGACAACGTGCTTGTACCTTTCCCTCACCTTCATGTCTTAAGATCTCTAATTTGCTTTAAAGCATTTCCCTGAAGAGAGATAGAACCAATAGGAATGCTTTCCTTGAGGTTTGTAGGCACAACAGGCCCATTGATCAGTAAGCATTTATTAAAGTGTCTACTGTGTGCCAAGCACTGTGCTAGCCATTGGGCCTAGGCAAAGACCAAAAAGAAACATTTGCTGCTCTCATAGAGATTATATTTTATAGTAGGAGATAATGTGTACATATATAAGCACATTACATGCCTTGCACTTATTCTTTTAACCCATACTTAGATTCGTAGGTGTCCCCCAAACGATGGCTGTTTCATCTCCCCTCAGGATTCTAGGGATAACCCAGAGCTATTGGACTATCTTTCTAATGCTATGGCTTGTTGACTTTTCCCCATAATTATCAATTTATTTCAGTTAGCTAGACTTAATTATCCTTTATAGGGTCTATGACCTGTCCTCCTACAAGTATATAAAAGCCCAGGAGAAAGTAGGTTGAAGTTTAGAGAATACACATGGACGATTTGGGTTGTTGGAAGTCCTTTGCTTCCCTTGATGGGGGTGTGGAGGGTGTCTCATAAAGTTATTCTTAAGCATGCTCATGACAAATAAGTTCCTTTATTAACATGGATCTGAACTTTCTTGGAAATTTATAACCTTAGAAAATTATCTATGGGCACTGAAAGATTAAATGACTTGACCAGGGTCACACGAATCCAGGTCTTCCTGATTCCAAGACCAGTTCTATAATATTCCACACTGTATCTTCCTGAAAGTTAATAGTATTCTGATTGACTTGTTGGAGGCAGCCAAGCTTAAGTATGTAATGAGTCTGAAGCTTCAATTAGAGGGAAGATAGTGAGTGTGCTATGAGTCTGCATTTGAATGACATCAATTAATACCAGTATTTTAGAAAGGGTTGGGCTAAAAATACTGGATTGGAGTTGTTAATCATATAATAATTATTGTGTATTGATTATGCATCTATTACATATCTATCCTGTCTTTATGTCTAATTGGTAGCCTCCGTACGTAATTGAGGAATAACTGTTTAACTGGTCATTTAGTCATAATGAACTATCTGTATGGCTTTTGACTTGTTTACATTGCAATATTATATTGCCCCACAAAGATTCATAAATGACTTCAAAATGTCAGATTTTAAGTATTGAAATTAAATATAGTATAATAAGTAAAAGGCAGAATTAAATGTAAAATAATAATGATGTTTTGGAAACTTTTTTTTATACAATAGCACTTTGTTTTTGTGAAATCACCTACTGTAAGTATCCCAACATCCTTTCGAGCGTGGCTTTTATACAGAAGACTGGTGAAGTCATTTGCAGTCCAAAAAGGTTTCCTGAAGCATATGTAGACCCTAATACAAAGCAGAATCTGGGTTTTCCTGGCATGGTGGGTATCATCTAATACATCAGACAGCATTATTATGATTTAAAAAGCATGCTTGGTATTTAGTAAGGATTAATAAAAGATATATTTAGCTGGACAAATTTCCATGACTCTGTATAAACACAATAGTTATTAATATATAGTGATCCAAAATATTTAATTATAATGAATGTATTTTCTAGAATTTCTTTAGTTTAAAAATTAATATAACTATTACTTTGGTAGCGTAATGACAAGTGAATGAACAAAATTTATTAAGAGCTTACTATGCTTCAAGCGCTCTTGTAAGCACTGATACTACAGATTAAAAAGAAATGGACTTGAAAAGTTACTCACTTGTTGTGGAGTTGTGTCTGACTCTTTGTAACCCCCCTTTGGAATTTTCTTGGCAAAGATACAGGAATGGTTTGCCATTTCCTCCTACAACTCATTTAACTGAGGCAAACAGTTAAATGAATTGCCCAGGGTCACATAGCTAGTAAGTGTTTGAGGTCAGATTTGAACTCAGGAAGATGAGTCTTCTTGGCTCTAGACCTGGAACTCTATCCACTACACCACCTACTATCTACAACTAGTGCCTCCATTTTTATGTGGAAATTATGGGGTGAAATACTGAGGAGGAACATAAACACTGAATGATAATAAATCAGGCAGTTTATTGCTGATAGACATGCAAGCATGCAGCTCCCCAGCCCTTGAGCCCCATGGTTAAGGGAAAAATGTGGACTGGCTTGTTGTACAGTGGATGCACAACCTGGTTGATAGCCCATAATTCTGGGTCTCTATCCTTATACCTGTTACTCTTGGTGCACAGATTCACAGGGAACTTTCAGGAGAGAGATCTTAGGGACAATTAACGGACAGGTAGCCTAACTACAACCCTCGTTATTGCAAGGACATTATGATCAGGAGGTCTTTGCATGCACATCATACTTTCCCTAAATGAAACTGGTTAAACTGGTTATTGGACGTATAGGACCTTCTTTCTTGTTTAATCTTTTAAGTATTTTAACTCTTTTTTAAAAATTTAACATTTTCTACTCAGTTTTTCATCAGGAATATGTGTAAATCTTCTATTTCATTAAAGTCTGTTTTCCCCCCCTTGTAGATTTATACTGTTTTGCTATGTAAAATTATTCTTAGTCTTTATATGTTTTGCCTCCTGGAATATCATATGCTAAGCTCTCTACTCCTTTATCATGGTGGCTGCTAAATCTTATGTAATGCTAAGTATGAGTCAACAGTACTTCAGCTTTCTTTCTAGCAAATTGCAGTATATTTTCTTTGACCTAGAACAGAGGTGGGGAATCTCAAGTGGAGCACTTTGACTGAATCCAAACTTAACCCCTTAATAAAAGGATTTGTTTTGTAAAATTTGAACTCAGTCAAAAGGCCACACCCAAGTACCTAGAAGGCCGCATGTGGCCTCAAGGCCAGCGGTTCCCCACTCGTGAACCTAGATACTCTGGATTTTGGCAGTGACACTTTTAGAAGTTTTCATTTTGGGTTTCTTTTGAGAGGTTTCAGTTTTTGTTCTTTGGTTCTGAGGCATCTGGGCAATTTTTTTTTCATAATCTCTTGAAATATGACATCTAAACTTTTTTAGATTTTAGTATCTAGGTAGTCCAGTAGTTCTTAAATAACCTCTTGTTGACTGGTTTTCCAGATCACTTATTTTTGATTGAAAATATCTTCTATTTTCTTATACTTTTTCAGACTTTGAATATTTCTTGTTTTCTCATGGAATTATCTTATTTGATTCATTTTAATTTTCAAGTCATCTGTTGCTTGGGTAAAATTTTTTATCTTTTTGCGCTAAGCTGTTATTTTCTTTCTAAGTCTTTCCTCCACATCTCTCATTTCTCTTTTGATTCTTTCCTCTAGCTCTTTTATTTCATTTATAAAATCACGTTAAACTTAAAAAAAAAACCAAACTAACAGAAATTCTGGCTTCATTTCTTTCAAGTTTTCTGGTTGAAATTTTAGCCAAGAGTGTTTTTGAATAGTATATGTGTTTGTATATGCATTCCTTTTCTGTTTATCCATTTTTCCAGTCTTATTTCTGGACTTCAGACTATGTGTTAGGGCCATGCTTTGTGACATTTTTGTGGGAATGTTTAGGTGGTGCTTAGTCCCTTAAACAGGACTAAGCAGAATCCTGCTGCTACTTTCTTTAGATTTTAAGTGTTTCCTCAAGGATCTCAGGGACAGATCAGGCTGAAGACCTGCAATATTTCAGTGAGTCCACTGTGATCTCTTTCAGGGCAAAGTCTGGTTGAGGTCTCCCTGTCTGAACTTTAAAGGCTCTTGTCCTAGATTTGGATCCAGCAATACAGCTGTACACTTGACCTTGGTTAGAGATCCAGTAGACTGATGCTGAACCCAACTTCAGCACTGGAAAGCTCTGCATGTTTAGCAAAACAGAACATAAGGTTCCCCATCTGTCTGAGTTCAGTGCCTTGGTTATCGGTTGCAAGCTTCAGACTGAGCTGGGTGCTACATCTGAAACCTCCATGTCACACAGTTGCTGCTAGCTTTAGTTCCTATTTCTTGCTTGTAGATAGCATCAGGCCGAGACCACCCTTGCCCTGGCTCACCACTCCAAGGCACAAGTCCCAGCAGCTGTTCCTTCTCTATCACACTTAGTTCTAGGTCCTCTCCCGAGTCTTGATCTATGACCGAACTCTGGATAATTAGTGATTGAGCTGCAGATTGGAATCTCTTCTGCTCTCTGTACAATGAAAGATCTTTATCTTTTGGATCTGGAACCTCTTTCTTTCCTAGTGTACCACTACGTGTTTTCATTTAGTTCTAGTACTAAAAGGCTTCAAGTGTCTCTCCTGGCTAGCTCCTCTCTTCAATGTCTATAGATGTCTGTCTCTCTGTGCCTACCTGGATTAGAAAAATGACTCACTGTGACTTTTTTCCCTTATATTCTTGATTAAGATTCAGGCTGGTGCATTCACTTTTTTTTTTTACATTTAATTTTAATTTTTTCCTCAATTACATATAACCAAAATTGTTAACATTCATTTTTTAAATTTTGAGTTCCAAATTCTGTCTCTCCCTCCCCAACCCCCTCTTTGAGAAAGTAAGAAGTTTGATATAGATAACACATATGTAGTCATGTAAAACATTTCCATATTAACTATGTTCCAAAAGAAAATGCAGACCAAAAAAGCAAAAATAATAAAGAAACAAAAAAAGCATACCTAAATCTACATTCACAGTTCATCATTTCTCTCTCTGGAAGTGGATGATATTTTTCATCATAAGTCCTTCAGGAATTGTCTTGGATCATTATATTACATGGATTATTATATTGAGAATACCTAAGTCATTCACAGTTGCTCATACAATATTGCTATTACTGCGTACAATGTTCTCCTGATTCATTTCACTTCATATCAGTTCACATAAGTCTTCCCAGGTTTTTTTTCTGAAACCACCCTGTTTGATATTTCTTATAGCACAATAATATTCTGTTACAATTGTATATGAGAACTCATTCAACCATTTCCCAATTTCCAATTCTTTGTCACAACAAAAATTGCTGTTATAAATATTTTTGCATATACAAGTCCTTTTTCTTTTTCTTTGAGCCCTTTGGGGTATAGCCCTAGTGGTGATATTGCTGGGTCAAAGGGCATGCACAGTTTTATAACCCTTTGGGCATAGTTCCAAATTGTTTTCCAGAATGGTTGGATCAGTTCACAACACCACCAACAGTGAATTAATGTCCTTGTTTTTCCACATCCTTCCAACATTTGTCATATTCCTTTTCTGTCATGTTAGCCAACCTGATAGATATGAGGTAGTACCTCAGAGTTGTTTTAATTCACATTTGTCTGTCATGGTTTAGGGTATTTTTTCATATGACTATAGATAGTTTTGATTTCTTCTTCTGAAAACTGCCTATTCATATCCTTTGACCATTTATCAATTGGGTAAGGGCTCTTATCCTCATAAACTTGGCTCAGTTCCTCTATATTTGAGAAATGTGACCTTTATCAGAGAAACTTGCTATAATTTCCCCCCCCCCCAGTTTCCTATTTTCCTTCTAATCTTTTGCATTGGTTTTGTTTGTACAAAACCTTTTTAGTTTGTTGTAGTCAAAATTATCCCATAATGCTCTGTCTCTTGTTTGGTCATAAATTCTTTCCTTGTCCATAAATCCAATGGGCAAATACTCCATGCTTCTCTAATTTGCTTATAACACTTAATTCTAAATCGTGTACCCATTTTGACCTTATCTTTAGTGTATGTTGTGAAATTTGGTCCATATGGAGTTTCTGTCAAATTGCTTCCCAGTTTTTCCAGCAGTTTTTATCAAATAATAATTTCTTGTTCAAAAATATTAGATCATTGGGTTTATCAAACACTAGATTAGTATGGTCATGTACTACAGTGTATTATATATCTAATCTATTCCATTGATCCACCACTCTGTATCTTAGCCAGTACCAAATTGTTTTGATGATGACCACTTTGTAATACAGTTTCAGATCTGATACTGCAAAGGCACCTTCCTTCACAATTTTTTTCATTGATAACCTTGATATAATTGACCTTTTGTTCTTCCAGATGAATTTTATTATTTTTTTCTAGTTCTATAAAATAATTTTTGGAGGAGTAATTTGATTGGTATGGCACTGAATAAGTAAATCAATTTAGGCAGAATTGTCATTTTTAGTATATTGGCTCAGCCTACACATGACAACTAAAATTTCTCAAGTTGTTTAGATCTGACTATATTTGTGTGAAAAGTGATTTGTAACTGTGTTCATAGAGATCCTACGTTTTTCTTGGCAGGTAGATGCCCAAGAATAATAGTGGTGATAATGGGCATCCTTGCTTCATCTCTAATCTTATTGGAAAGGATTCTAGCTTATCCCCATTACAGATAATGCTTATTTTTTGGTAGGTACTACTTATCATTTTAAGGAAAAGTTCCATTTATTCCTTTACATCCTAGTGTTTTTTGATAGTAATGAATGTTGTAT